GTCCTGTTCCATTGACCCATATTTCTGTTTTTGTGCCAGTACCATACTGTTTTGATGGTTGTAGCTTTGTAGTGTAGTCTGAAGTCAGGGAGCCTGATTGCTCCAGCTCTGTTTTCCTTTTCAAGATTGCTTTGACTATTCAGGGTCTTCTTTGTCTCCATACAGATTTTGAGATTTTTTGTTGTAGTTCTGAAGAAGATGTTGTGTGTGTACACACACACACACACACACACAGGAATATTACTCAGCTCTTAAAAAGAATGAAATAAGGCCATTTGCAGCAACACGGATGGACCTAGAGAGTGTCATACTGAGTGAAGTAAGACAGAGAAGAGGAAATATCATATGACATCCTTTATATGTGAAATCTAAAAAGAAATTATACAAATGAACTTACTTACAAAACAGACTCATGGACTTAGAAAACAAACTCATGGTTGCTGGGGGGAGGACATAGTTAAGGACTTTGGAAAGGTAACATACACACTGCTATATTTAAAATGGATAACCAGCAAAAACCTATGGCATAACACATGGAACTCTGCTCAATGTTATATGCCAGCCTGGATAGGAGGGAGAATGGATACATGTGTATGTATGGCTGAGTCCCTTCACTGTTCATCTTAAACAATCACAACATTGTTTATTTGTAATAATGCTATAATTAATTGGGGTTAACTGCTATACACCAATACAAAATGTTTTTGGTGTTAAAAAAAAACAAAAATAAAACAAAACTAGAATGGATTCCCACACCCTCTTCCAGGGAATCTTCCCCACCCAGAGATCAAACCCTTGTCTCTTATGTCTCCTGCATTGGCAGGCGGGTTCTTTACCACTAGCACCACCTGAGATGTCTGAACCTGTCTGTGCCACAATTTTTTTAAATCTGGAAAGTAGTGATAATAGTTCGCTGATGTAAGGATGAAATGAAATAATTGCTAATGCTTAGCACTTGGCAAGTACTAAATGACAGCTGTTATTATTTTCCATGCTTGACATGTAATTTACATAAAAGTTGCCTTTCTGGATTTTTTGGCCAAACCACTTATTTTGTTGGGTGGGTTTATACTTTCCAGGAGAACAATTTGATATAACAGAAATCTGGATTCTAGCTATGGATCATCCACTGATTGATTTTGATTTGATTAATTATTAATGGGGGTTCAGATAAAATATTTAGTATTTTCATATAAAATTTAAATATTTTAAAAGAGGTGAACATGTTGAGTCTTTCGTTGATTTTGAGTACTCAACAAAGACCTGTTTTTTGTTTCATCATAGTGTGAAATGGTGATCCCAGATGTTCAGTTTTTGTACCAAAGCTTACCAATGACTGTTACAAAAACTTTTTGTAATTTTCAAAGTTTAAATTAGTGGATGATTTACAGATGATTCCTGTGATGAGTGTTTAATTCTAAATATAAACTACTTGACAATCACACCCAATAAAAAGTTCAGTGCTTTTCATATCACCAAAACCCTATTTCATAAAATTATTGTAATAACCTCCTAATGAATTTGAGTTAGAGAAACTGGAAATACATTCTTTTCCTAATTACAATGTAGTATGTATTTGTGCATTTTTTATTAATTTTAAAATGTTATAAACTTCGCTTAGATTTGCTTTGTTTTTATGTCCTATTTTCTGAAAGACTTCAGATTTTCATTAGTTTTTCACTTCCTTCCAAAAGGGACCTTGTAGAGAAATATTGTAGAATCAAAATGAATCTTGTAGTCAAATTTTATTGGAGTTCAGGTCCTGTAAAGATGGTTGTGTTTAAATTCCACAAAGTTATTTGTTGTTTTTCCTGAACTTTTCCTTTTGCAGCAAAGTTCTGTTTTCATTAACTACACACTATTTTAAAGTAGAAGATGGTGGTGAAAGATCAGTCTGTGTTACCTTTGGATTTTTTTTCTTTGTGAAAGCAATGGCTGTCTTGATTGTAACAGAAAACTATCTGGAATTCGGACTTGAAACAGGTAATAATTTAATATCTTATAGGTTCTTAAAGTTAGGTTTATATTTTGAAATGTTCTAAATAATTAACATTTATTATTCTTAAGATCTTTTTTTTAAGCTAAGTTTTTCCTATCTTTTTCCAAAAATGCTCTCCCTTCCTCATTTTTTCCTTAAACTTAAATAAGTATTTCTAATGCTAATGTTTACTCACATAGATAAAGATGCAGATTTTAATGCAAATTATATGGAATGTACAGATATCAAAGGGATGTTTTCAAAGGCTATTTCTCCTAATAACTAAATTTTATTGCATTATGACATACTAATTAGCACATGAAAGAGCTAGTCTTGTCACTTCAGAATTTAAGATACTCTAGCATTTTATTTCCAAAGAAAGATTCTGTATTTTACTCCTATGATAAGAGTAAATTTTTTTCCCCCTACAGGGTTTACAAATTTTTCAGACAGTGCGATGCAGTTTCTTGAAAAGCAAGGTTTAGAATCTCAGTAAGTTTTTTTTTTAATTAAGTATTATTCAAGTTAAATTTTTCCATTTTTAGTAAAATACCACTTACTATAAGTAGTTCTTTGTTTTTAATCAGTGAAAAGAGTTATTTTTTAAGTAGGACTGTCTCTTTTAGCAATATCCTTACCCATATTTTCTTACATTTGTATAAACTTAGTATCTTTTATAGAATTCTGATTTGAATTTGCTGTTATTTAACTTAATTCCTCTTCCCTCAGACAGTAAATGAAATTCATGAGTCACGTTATTTTTTGTTGAATATGTAGTTAAAATTGTTAAAACTGTTGCTTAAGAGATAGCTGATTAAGTTCATAATTCACCAAATCCCTTATAGATAGTGGTAGAATAAGAGCTGTCTTTCTGTAAGAGTTTACTTTGTATTACTTGTATTATTGTGATTTATAAAGTAATTAATTAGAAGAAAAGAAACTTCTAGAAGGTTCACTTCAAAAACTTACCAGCTTTTTAAAAAATTTTAATTTTAGGGGTCCTGTTTCAAAACTTACTTTCAAATTTTTCCTGGCTATTTTCTGTTCACTCATTGGGGCTTTTTTGACATTTCCTGGATTACGGCTGGCTCAAATGCATCTGGATGCTCTGAATTTGGCAACAGAAAAAATTACACAGTAAGCGGAAAATGTACATAAGCACATGCAGATAAATATATGTTTTCCATCTTAATGAAGGTATATTATTGTAATGAAATCATAAATTATTGTATTGAAAATTAATAACCATTTGATGTCACACTGCTTCCTCTTTCTACTATAAGCAAGTTTCTTCCATTCTTTTCTAAACTTTAAGTCCTGTATAAGAAAAAACACTAATTATTAAATTTCTTTTTTTCCTGTTAAAATGGAAATATCAATATTTATGTTCTTTTGAACTCAGAGTTCAATGTTTATGATATCATAATCTCTACCACTAATCTGAGGATCTATGGGAATTTCTTTAAATTAGAATTTTCGAGCTATAAATACTTATTTAAATTTTATATAAATGATTTGATTTAATTTAATTTTTTATTTAAAGCATTTTATTATTAAATGTTTTGAAATTTGTGTACATAAGAAATGTTTGTTTTCCTTATATTACTGACTTGTATGTAAGCTTATTTTACTTTGGGATTGCTAATACTGTATAGTGTTAAATTGTAGTTTACTATTTTAGTTTTCAAATAGAGAAATTGTATTTGAATCTCTACATATAAGTCAGAGCCCACTTACTATATTCTTTGTGATTGTCAGAGATTCTTTTCTTGGTGTAGACACCTTGGCAGAGGAACAGATTTTTATCTTCTTCATTTCTTATCCAGATCCAAGTTTCCAAGTCCTCTTTTTGTTTTGCAGTAGAAGCACAAGTTGAGAATATTCCATTTTGATATATGTATTTATAGTCATTAAGTTTCTCTGAATAGTCGTATTTCCTAACATTTCTGCTCTTTAAAAACCTACATTTAATGATGCTGATTCTCTGTCTTTTCACGTTCTTCTCTCTCCTACCTCTGTCATTTTCCTTTATTTTACTTTTGAAAATATTTCTGTGTGTTTCCTCTCCTCCCTTTTTTCCTGCATATGCTTTGTGTGTGTTTGCTTATTCTCACCTCCTTCATTCCTCTCTTTTCCGCTCCTTTTGCTCAGCATGCTCTTGGCTACATCCTGCTTTTCTCCCTCCATCCGTCTCTCTAATGGCTTCTTTTAAAACAAAACCTGGTTCTCCCTCTCCTCTCTACACACGCACACTTCAGTCCACTAACCCCAGTGTTATGATTTAAATAAGCTGAAAGGGTGGGTGGAGGGGAGCCCTTCACCAGCTACTGAAACCGCTGTGGGCTGCTCCTTGATACTAGAGTGTTCCCTAGCAACACTGCATACCTAATACTGCTGCTTTCTTCCCCCGCACCCGATGGTTTACCCAGGCTGTGGGATGAAAGAATCACTTTATGAAAACATTTAAAGCATTTAGTGGTAGTTTGGGATTGGAGACACTGAGGGTTGGTTGCGGGGGGTGGGGGGGGGGTACATTTTCTTTTCCTTCTCAGAAAAATGTAGCTTCTTACGATTTTTCCCTTTGGGAATCTGGAGTTTTATTTTCCATGTGTTACAAACGGCCCCCTCACACATAACACACACACGTTGTGTTGTAGCACTCTGCCCAGATCCAGGGTGTGGCAAGCTAGTTTTGTAGCGAGAGCCGCAGAGTGGCACAAAGAGCTGCCTTCTCCTCACCCCCATGGCCAGGCAGTGGTACTTGCTTTAGGGCCAGAGCTTAGACCCAGAGTTCCACCTCTCCCTGGTCAGGTAGGTCTTCATGGTTTCCTGATCCAGCCGTTTGCTCACAGAAATCACTGTCACGTGCATTGTAGCGGTATTTTAAAGTGTGTGTGTATTTTAAACCCTCCAGTTTAGTCTCTCTTCCTTGCATGGTTTGTAATGAATACAGTACATGGTAATAAAATAGTCTGAAGAACGTCTTTCTGAAACAAGGACAGTCTTTATTAGTCATCTGTCTCCATAGGGTACAGACTTGGGGCAACAGTTAGCAATGACATTACATCTCACACCTGAAACCATTTGCTGTATTGGGTATATTATAGCCTTGTAGGAGTAATGTGAATTTCTCCTGGTTTGTATAGGATAGGGAAATTCATTTCAGATACGTTCATAATTCTTCAAGAAGAAATAAAAATGTGAATCATTTATGATTTTAACAATCAATTAAAACATTTTACATGATCATTACATGTTGAAAGGTTCCTCGTTTATAAGTTGGTGCAGTGGCTTCCACCTGCCCTATCCCGTCTGGTATTTTGGACCTTGTAATAGGTCTCTTACTTGTAAGTAATCAGAAGCCACTTTATGTCTGCTGGACTGAAAAATATCAAAAGATGACTCCTATCCTGAAAATTCATTGGATTCATTGATTGTTTAGAGAATCTTTTAAGTACCAATATATTAAATCAGGGATACAGTAGGAGATTGTTAAACAACACTAGAATGGGAGTGAACAGATTTAGATTTTAGTGCTTGATCTCTTTCTTACCTGTAATATTACCATGTGCAAATCATTTAACTTTCCTCAATCTAAACATTCTCATCTGAAACATTAAAATAATGAGGTGTTTTTATAAGGGCTCAAATCAGTGTTGAGTGATAATGATTAATATAAAATAATGGTGGCAACAATACCTTAATATAGAATACTGAAAATAAGTTCCTACCTTCATTTTTTAAATCCCAAGTTTCTGTAGTTTATTAGTGTATTTTGCTTCTGGATTTTTATGTTTATTTCTTACATACTTTCAGAACATTACTTCATATCAACTTCTTGGCACCTCTGTTTATGGTTCTGCTCTGGGTAAAACCCATCACCAAAGACTACATTATGAACCCACCATTGGGTAAAGAAAGTGTTCCTTTGTAAGTATGGGTATTTGGGGGCTAATTTTTATTTTATTATGTAATCAAAACTTTTCTAAAATGTTTTTTACTATGTTCATGTTTTTAATTATAATATTAAGACTGTATTTTTAAAACATTAATAGAAATATTTTAAAATGTATCATAAAATGGAAATTACAGGTCATCATTTAAACTTTTGGTGATCTTCAATAATGGTTGTGAATTCTTATTACTCTGCACTTATACTATCTTGTACAGTTGTAAGTTTTTGTGCTTTTTCACTTGATGTCCAGTTGATATCTGAGAGTTTTTTTTGATAGCGCTTGTTTTTGAGACACTTTGTACATTTCTGTTATTTTTCCTTAATTGTGAAAATTATAGAGGAAAAATTTTATAAATGGAAGTTCATATATTCAGCCCCTTAAGAGTTATTAATATTTTCCACATTCACTGTTTTTTATTTTTTTATAACGTATCTTTTCAAGTAAATCAGAAGCATAACATTTTTACCCCTAAGAACTTCAGTATGCCCCTCTAAAAAATAAAGATATTCTTCTACATGACAGTGTTGTCATACCTATCAAAATTAAAAATAAAGCCTTAACATTGTTATCTAATAGTAGGTCCTATTCCCCAATTAGACAACTGTACTTTAACAGAAGAAGGAAACTAACAGTTTGTTAAAAGGCGTTACTAACTGTACTTGATATGTTAACCCATTAGCCTTATGGAACTATATTAGAGTAATAAAAAGATTCAGGCAGAACTGGTTCAAACCCTGGTTCTGATCCTCACTAAAACTGTCACTTGAGGGAGATTATTTAACTTCACTGACCCTCTGTTTCCCCATCTGGAAAATGAAGATAATAGTATCTACCTCACAAGGTTATCATTGGAATTAAATGAAAGAATACATGTAATGCAACTGGCTAGAAGTAAGTGCTTAATAAATGTTCCTTTCACTGCTTTGCCTTATCAAAATTAAAATAGAAAAACTTGACTAGTCATTGATTCCACAGTATGCATTTTACATTATGTATTTCTTTTAGATCCTGGTACAGATTTGTGTTGGAGTAAATGTAGAATCGGTGATGACCATGATTTTTTTTTTTAACACTTAACCTTATTGAACTAAGAAAGTATACTTTGAAGTCATAACATTTTTTTCCCCACATAAGTAAGCTTTAATGGTAATTTCAACTTGACAGGTTCACTCTGAGTATTTAAAAGTTAATCCTAAGGATTGTAGGGTTCTAGACTAAGGTAGAGAATCTGCTTGCAGTGCAATGCGGATGACCCAGGTTTGATCCCTTGGTCAGGAAAATCCCTTGGAGAAGGGAATGGCAACCCACTCCAGTATTCTGCTTGGTAAATGATGGAAACAAAATCATAGTCTTATCTGTGCTCCATTTTATTCCTTTTTTATTTGTTAGATCATTATATTAAGTGATTAGACAGCAGTGGTTTTTAATTTTTGTTTAAAACCCAAAGCCCATGTGGTAGATTGAGAAAGAATGGCTGCCCTTTAACCCAGGTCCTTTTGTCTTTCACATGGAGTAAATGGTTGGTCAAAGGCCTTTATTTGTAGTGAGAAGCAAAAATGGTTAGAATGTAGTTTCAACCCAGAAATGTATTTAAACTCATCCATCCATGTGTTCTGCTTGGGCATCAAAAAGTGAAATGCAGGCAGAATCCATGTGTGCACCAAGAGAGAACATGTACAGTGAAACTTAGAATGGCTTCAGGAATTTAGAGAAATTTCTTCTGCCTTTTCTTTACCTGTATATTTTGCCCCAGCTCATACTCTTTCCTGAGATACACCATCATATCAATTTACCAAATCCTTATGAAGTTAAGTAAGCAGTCTGAATTAGAGGTACTAATTAGATAGCTATTAGTAGGACTGTTACCTAAATCCTGAACTCCTCGTAAACAGGGCAGGTATTTTTTGATTCACTGCCTCGTACCGTTCCCTTCATTTCTATTACCTGTCATCCTCAAAGTGTATATACCAGCTGTCTTCAGAACTCTGCCGGCCAAGCCCCCTGGTTGCCCCACACCAGGGAGCACATTGTTGTCTGCAGGCCCTGGAAGGGTTCAAGGCTGCAGCTGGTCCTAAATCTCTGTGTACTCCCATTCTCACATGACTGATGCTTTAATCTTACTGTTCATTATAATGCAAGTGTATTGATAAAAGTTTGCCTCTATGCTTGCTAACCAACCTGCATTTCTCATGACCTTGTAAAAAGGAAACCAAAAAACAGCATGCATAATAGAGCCTTTGTACCATCCCTCTATCACCTCCACTTTATAAATAGTTCAACCAGAACTGTGACCGCTCCCATCTTCTCCTTTCCTGTTTCTGTGCTGGCTTTCAGCTTTACTTCCACAGGCAGCTAGTTCTGTATTGTAGTTTTAGGCCCTTTCCTCGGTGCTTACCCTGGACAGAAGGGGGTGATAATAGAGCCTATTTTGGAACAAAGTGTTGGTTTTACATCTTTCCCACTCATTCTTATTTATAGCCATCCAGTCTACCCTCATAGTCTTTAAGAATTTGGGGGAGACCCTTGTAAGTTCCACATCCTGTCTGGCAGATCACTAGACACATTTCAACAGTCATATATTTAACTACGTGTTATGTACTAGAAATTTGAATAGAGTCAGGCACATGTAAGCATTATCTTCAAATTACAATGTTATCTTTTATCAAAGCAGAAACCATGGTCTTTTATAAATGTTAAACCCCTAAAGGACATCAGAATTTACCTCTTCTTTCCAAAGTCCTTTAAAGAACATTTTATTTTATTTTATTATATCAGAATTCTTGATCCCAGTCAGGAATTGAGCAGAGTTGAAAGATCCTATTCAGGTGTTTATGTGATCAAACAAAACTGTAGCTAGAAACAGATAGGCTGTTCACTTGATAGTTCATGGGCAAGCTCCTGGGGTTTCCTTCCTTCTTTCTTGTAGTCTCCCGTTTAAGAACTCCCACTTCCCTTTTTGCTTAGTCATTCCCCTACCCCCGCTCCGGGAGGATGGATAGAGAAAGGAATCCCAAGTATTGCTCTCCTTTTTTTCTTTTAGACTTATCTGGTACTTCTTTGTTTCTTATTCTGGTACTTCATGCATTTGTTATGCAAGTGAAAGTATCCTGTAAGTCTCTGATAGAATGGGACACTTAGCATGTCTCCAGTCTAGATTTCCTTGTATTAAATATCTTATCCAATGAACATTAACACATAAAACTAGCATGCTAGCATTTTTTGGTCTTTGAGAGCACCATATCAACTTTTTGATCTGTAGAATGACAGAAGCTACCTTCGATACTCTGCGACTCTGGTTAATAATCCTGCTATGTGCTTTGCGGTTGGCCATGATGCGTAGTCACCTGCAAGCTTACTTAAACTTAGCCCAGAAATGTGTGGATCAAATGAAGAAAGAAGCTGGGCGAATAAGCACAGTTGAGCTTCAGAAAATGGTAAGTTTTACACTGTTGTCAAAATGAAAAATAGCAAATACTGATGGCGCTAGCGGTAAAGAACCCACCTGCCAATGCAGGAGATCCGGGTTCAAACCTGAGTCGGGACGATCCCCTAGAGGAGGGCATGGCAACCCACTCCAGTGTTCTTTCCTGGAGAACCCCATGGACAGAGGAGCCTGGCAGGCTGCAGTTATGGGGTTGCAAAGGATCCGACATGACTGAAGCAACTAGTACCACATGCACAAAATTAAGTGTTTGATTTCTTTCGGTAGTAGTTTCATTCCATGATATTCTTATTATGAACAGATAGAATAATCTTAAACTGAATGTCAGAGACATTAATCTGATTTTGGTGTTAGGTGAAGAAAGGGTCTCAGCTCCCCTTCCTGCCTTAAGTAAGTATCATACAGTTTGGATTACAAAGCTGTGGTATATCTCCGTTTGCTAAATGGGACTCCCCTAACTGATCTGAAATCACTGATCACAGTATATTGTATAGCTTTTGTGACTTAAAGAATAGGGAATACTAGTTTTAGTGACTAAATGTATTCCTTTTAAATCCAAGTACTTGAACGTGGAACATAAATTTTAACTTAATGGAGATTCCAGAGAAGGAAGGTGCTAGGAATCCATCCACTATTGTAATGGACTAGACCCACAACCCGATCAAGTCTTTTTAAAGAAACGTGGTGTCAGATCCTCTTGTTTTTTACTCTTGAATTTCATCTTGAATCTATCAAGGTTCAAATAACTTTTTATGTTTTACCTTTCATGTATTTTCATACTTTGAATTTTACTTCAGTCTAATGTAAATAGGGATTAATAATTTTATTTATGGGGGTTTATTTATGACTTATTGTTATTTACTTTGATATTTTAGGTGACTTGTCTTCAGAGATTTTAGCATTTTGTTTTATATTTGAAATAAGTGAATATATGCCATTTGAATTTCAGTGATTTTGTTTCTCCAATTTGTATTAATCACTTAACTATTTTTAAGGGATTTAATGCTTTTTTCGTATTTTAAAGAACCTTCAAACTGAGCTTTTCTGAAGTCAGTCTGGGGGCATTTATAATGAAGTACAAATTTATTTCCAGTTAGCTTTCTTCCCATGGAAGGATTATTTATCTTTTAAGCGATTCAGTGTGATGATTCAGTTTGATATGAAAGTTTAACTCGTTCATAACACGTCAACTGTGTTAGAAACTTAGGAATGCTGTCGTTTCAGGTCGCTCGAGTCTTTTATTACCTCTGCGTCATCGCGCTGCAGTATGTGGCTCCCCTGGTCATGCTGCTTCACACAACCCTGCTTTTGAAAACTCTAGGTAGGCATATCCTGGCAACTGGGAAGCTCACTGCTCTACTTTCTACCTGTAATTAATCATGTTTTCTGTTACCTACAAAGAAATATGCCTCTTAAAATTGATTCTCTCTTTAGAAGTTTTATGAGGCAACTTGGGAGCCTTTCAGCTCTAGAAGTTGATTCATTGATTTATCTTCTTGATTTTGAAAACTCAGACCCATATGGTTTTATAAAGTTAAAAGAATTGTTTGCTAAAGGTTAATTCCAAGTAACTTGAGTGAGCACTTTTTAATCTTATTATTTTGTATTTTAAGATTGTGTTATTGCATAACATTTAAATTATTATGAGGTACTTTTAAATTTATGAATTGTAGGATCTTTTGGTGAGTTCTACTTCAGATAACTTAACGTGGATAGAATAAAGATTTCTCCATGGCAGAACAAAGTTCCTCTATAAGTCTGTTAACTAAGCAGTCAAGCCCCTCTGTGGTATTACTCAAGAATTATCTATTACCAAGTTGATTATTTCTTTGCTTAGATCTGGCAGTCTGCCATTGTGGGGGTTTTAGAAGCCCAGAAAAATTAAAAGCATTGTTGGGTGGACTTATAGATACTATAGAGCTGATGATAGATGTAAATAATCTTTCAGGAATCTCTGGAACATAAGAGTAGCTCAGTGGTAAATTAATGACTCATAACCTATCAGCATAGGAAAATATATGATGAAAAAATTTCTGGAAGCTATTAATAGTCTCTCACATTGGCATCATAGATAGTTTCTGAGAAAGAAATTATTCTGATATTCTAGAGGTGGAAAAGATTCTAAGAAGTTACAGAATCTGTTCTGTCACTCCAATAGAGGTAGTTGATTCATGGATTATACAGGGAAGAGAATATTTTTGTTGTTTTACCAGATTTTGATGCAGTTAATTAAAAGTAAATTAGTTTTTGGCTTTTATGTGTAATTCTACTGATAAGGTTAGATTATAGTCTGGTCAAGTTAAGTGAATTTTCCCTAAGTGTGTAGAAAGCTTATTATTTTATTTTTAACATAAAATAATTTGTTGTGCCACTAAATTTCTTGTTCTTACTTTGAAATATAAGTTAAGGAATTTTTTTTTTTAACAAGAAGCTTTGGGATTACTTACTCTTCAAATTTTATTTGTATCTTTAATTTTCTAGGTAATCATTCCTGGGGGATTTATCCAGAATATATGTCTGCCTTGCCAGTGGATAATAGTCTACCCTCCAATTCTGTTTACTCTGAATTACCATCTGCTGATGGGAAGATGAAGGTAACTGTTACACAGATAACAGTGGCACTGAGCAGCTTAAAAAACATTTTCACTCCTCTCCTTTTTCGAGGACTTCTGTCTTTTCTGACCTGGTGGATTGCTGCTTGTCTCTTTTCTACAAGCCTTTTTGGGCTTTTCTATCACCAGTATCTCACTGTGGCATGAGTCTCAGTTAACAAAAACGGATATCAAAGTCACACTTTGAATTCAAGTATTGTACCCTTGAAGGGCCAACGAAAACCAGAAGAAAGCAAATACAAAGGAAAGAAACCATATCAGAATATCTTGTTTTAAATACTTCCTCTGTATTCTCAGGGTGGTTTAATGGTATTAATATTTTAAATTATAGAATAGATTGTTAACTGCTATACTATGGTATTGAAATTTTAACTCCTTGCATTAAGGGATGTGAGAGGCTATCTGCAGGTATAATAACTTCCGATGACCTTGGTTTACAGAAACCTCCATCAGTCTTTGAAACTTCTCATATGACTCCAGTTATTGATTGGTTCTGTTAATGGTATTAAGGTACTGTCAATATTCGTAGTAGCTGCCTATAGAACAATCTTCAAACTGAGCCATGCTTTAGGGGAGGGAAAGGAGTTAAAGTCACTTCTGTTGGTAATATACCAGTCAAACAGCAACAACGGCAAAATCCAACAGAAAGGAAGAAATAGCTACTGTATATTACAGTAAAGAAAGCTGCATAGAAATTTTAAATTTAATGGAGATGTACATGCTTGATATTTACAAGTACTGCTGCTTGACAGTAGCAAGAGTATTGCTTTAAAATGCATTCTATCCAACTTGAGGGATCTTTTAAATGATTGGCTACATGAACATTTGCAGTCTTGCCATTAGGTTTGGACCTCCCATATTTTATTTTATTCTATGATCCTAAGTATACTTTTTAATAGTCTAAAAGTATTTATCAATGTTGATCAGACTTTTAAAAAATTACTTTGTAATCCTGCTGACTACCTGTATGTATTGTACATATATATATTATATATTAAATATATAATATATTGAGATTATAAAAGATGAAAATATTGGATTCTTATAATATTTTAAGTTGCTGAATGTATGTTAAAATGTGATTGAATGAGATGTGTTTATATCTAGAAATTTTCTTCTTCCTGGAATGAGATTAAAATACATTTTGAAAATTCATCCGAGTAAGCAGTTTATTTGTGTTGCCTGTGTGTAAGAGTCTAGAGAAGGAAATGGTCTTACCTGGAGAATGTCCATAGAGTCACAAAGAGTTGGACACAACTGAAGCAACTTAGGACACACACATGTGTGAGAGTACTTCTGATTTTATAAATACTTAGGTAATTGCTCCCCAACTAAAATTCTTTTCCTGTCATTAAAAAAAAATTAGAACCTTTTCCACTCTAGACAAAACTGGTATCATTTAAACCTATGTTATATAGGACTTGTTTTAATTTTGTAGAGATTTTATTTGTAATGTTTTTACTTTAAAGGACAGAAGTTGAAGTAATTTGAGAAATTTTTAAAGATGGGGAAAAAAGTAAATTTTTTGAATGCTTTTTTACATAGGGAATGAATATAAGAGATAAACAGGTTCCTCCTCCCCCCACCACCAAATGTATAGAATTTATTGATAAATATTCTTGCATTTAACTGCCTTGTGAGGCTGTGTATTATGTTTCAGTGCTATTGTCACTACTGAAAGCAGTTTTGAGACTCTTCCTTCTTTTGGCATTATTTTCAAGCCTTGTGGTTCATATTCATTTGAATAATCTCAGTATAGCAAATTCCTATCTTTTGGTGTAGATTAAATATTTTGAAAATAGCTGATATTTTGAATAAGACTGAGTAATAAAATAAGTGCTTAAGTTGGATAAAGGTCTTTGAAGAATTGTGAATATAGCCTAATGATAGTTCCTGTGTGTTTCCAAAAGAAGCATACCAAATATATCTTGAGATATCACCATTACTAAAATAAGTATCTTATAACAAGATTACAGTGAAGTATGACAATTATTTTGTATATGAAAGTTCTCACATGTTGGACTTGGGGGAAAAAATCTCTCTTATTGTTTATAACCATTCTTATTTAAAAAGATATATTATGAAAGTTACAATTAAAGTTATTTTGATTTTCAAAGATTGTATAGTGGAGTTATGTGGAGGGAAAGGAATAGAATTCATTATTAGATGGACTAGCATCTGTTTCTGAAATACTATTGATTTCACTCTTTTTAAACTGGAATTCTCCCTAAGTATACTATGAATTTATAGAAGCCACGGGTTAATTAAAGTGGTGGACTTAGTGTTTTTAGCCTTTTAAAGCAAATTTTGAGAGAAAGATGATTATAACTACTAACTGGTCAACTTAAGCATGTTGTCTTTGTTTCAAGGATTATATTAAATGCTGAAGGGTTTATACTTTATGTAAACTGAGTATTATTTTTAAGTCAAGATATAATTCATATAAAGTTGTAGTATAACAATGGTTTTTTGATACATTTATATGTTGCAAAGTGACTGCAAGTAATATTTTTGAATATCCCAAATTAGGTCAATAGAAGTGTTTTTTACATTGGACTCCAATCAGTATAAATGCTTCAGAAATCAGTTATTTTTACTTTATATTTTTTCCAGATTAACTGGGAACCCATAAAATATTGCTTCCTATGATCTGTACAATGTTACTTGACAATTCGTTGGTTCCTGCTCCCCAGCCCCTGCCCACTGCACTGTGAAAATTAGAACTCTGTTCTACTCCCATTGATTTGTCCAAAATGAAAAGCATATAATTCTATCTTAGTATTATGTTTATTTTGATTATCTTTGGTATTTTCCCCAGAATTTCAGTTGTTACGCATAAATGACCAATGTATCCTTGCAGTGTGGGCTCATTGTCTTATTGTTTCTGATATAAATATCATTGGTAAAATAGTGACATTTCTTCTTAAGTTATGATTCAGAAGAGATATTCATCTGTTAGTAGAATTGATAGGTCCAGGAAGCAATAAGTAGAATTCATTATGAAGTCTGTAATGGGAACTTAACTGGGTAGATTTTATTCTTTCAAATGAAAGATTAAATTCTCAGTATTGCAAAGCTTGGGGTCTCAACATTCTCTGAATTCATACACACTTTCTGAGCTATCTTATAATTGAAAATGCTCTATCATGGTATATTGCTATTCAGCAAAATAAAACTAAGTGACTTTTGAATGTCGATCATCCTGTGTCTTCACAGAGCTTTAGGTGGCTTAAAGAAGCAGATTTAAACACACTGTCCTAGAGCTTGAACCCAGTGTCTCAAATAGTCCTACATGATCATCATCTAATTCCCATTTGTCTCATTATGTCTGTACTCTGAGTTTATAGCTGAGCTGATTATATGCCATGAAAACTCCAACATGGACATTAAGCATTAAGGATGATCAAAGAGCTGATGTCAACCTTTCCCTTCTTTTTTTTTTTAAATCTTTAATGATTCAGAGAGTTTGTATTTTTTCTATTCTGTTGTTCTGTTTTTTCTTTCTTTTAAAACTCCCTGTATGTAGTTATTCCTCTCCTTTCTCCCATTTGGCGGAAGGCTACCCATTTTATTAAATGAAGTAGCACGATTTTGTAGCAAGAATGTTGATCTTAGAATCAGGAAGCATTTCTTCACATCCCATTTTTACCTGTGATTAGTGTTTTGTTTTGTTTTTTTCACTTATTAGGCATTCAATCCATACTAATGAAATAAAACTGGATAATCATCATTGTTGACCTCAGAGGGGTGTGTGTGTGTTAGTCTCTCAGTCTTGTCCTGCTTTTTCCGACCCTGTGGACTGTAGCCTGCCAGGCTTCTCGGTCCATGGAATTCTCCAGGCAAGAAAGCCATGTCCTTCTCCAGGGGATCGAACTCGGGTCTCCTCCATTGCAGACAGATTCTTTGTTGTCTGAGCCACCGGGGAGAACCTCAGGTTAATCATGTTAAATAAAGTAAATAGTTTACATTAAATATATAACTGTGTATTTCCAAATCTGATATTGACTTCTGTTTATGTTAGCATGAGAAAAATGAATTAACTACTTTTGGCTTCAGGAATGGTTACACATCATATTAGTTAGAAGATATTCATTTACTATTATTTGAGAATGACTTTACAAAGAATATTTTCTCCAGGAGTATTTTGTTTTGTACTCATTTAATTCTTTGTTCCATAAATATATATTCAGTTCAGTTCAGTTGCTCAGTTGTGTCCAACTTTTTGCGACCCCATGAACTGCAGCACATCAGGCCCCCCTGTCTCACCAACTCCTGCAGTCTACCCAAACTCATGTCCATTGAGTTATGAGCTTTAAGCCAACTTTTTCAGTCTCCTCTTTCACTTTCATCAAGAGGCTCTTTAGTTGTTCTTCACTTTCTGCCATAAGGGTGGTGTCATCTGCATACCTGAGGTTATTGATAATTCTGGCAATGTTGATTACAGCTTGTATTTCATCCAGCCCAGCATTTCTCATAATGTACTCTGCATATAAGTTAAATAAGCAGGGTGACCATATACAGCCTTGACATGCTTCTTTTCCTATTTGGAACCAGTCTGTTGTTCCATGTCCAGTTCTAACTGTTGCTTCCTGACCTGCGTACAGGTTTCTCAAGAGGCAGGTCAAATGGTCTAGTCGTTCCCATCTCTTTCAGAATTTTCCACAGTTTATTGTGATCCACACAGTCAAAGGCTTGAGTGGGTAGTATTCCAGAAACTGCCCTAAGTATATCGGTAAACAGCACATCAAAATTCTTGCCCTCTTGGAGATTTTTTATAAACAAAGATGAATATGAATCACATGTGGGATAGGTTAGACAGTGATAGCTCATTGAGCTACTGAGCAGGAGTTTGGTGGGGGGTGGGGGTTAGGGCATCAGGGAAAGGAGAATATGAAGTTGGAGGGTTGGGGTTAAATTTTAAAGAGTCTTGAGGGAAAGCCTCACTTGAGAAGAAAATTTCTAAATAATGCTTTGAAGGAAATGAGCACCATCATAGTGTTTTTCTTATATCGCTGTGGTTCGTTGGTCAACAAACTATCCTGATTACTTGGATTTTGCTAAGTGTGAGGTCACTCAAGAAATACTTTAAGAAATGAAGAGATTCTGGGGACCGGAAGGAGATGAAACTGCCGCATCCGACTGTAGCGCCCGCAAGACGAGCGTGGTGAGAGATCGCGTCGCTGTTACAGCTGCGTGTTGCTGGAATGCGTGGCTCGTGCGCAGAGGTCGGAGGTGGCTGAAAGCCTGAAGTCGGTGTAGAAGCTGAGACCGCCAACTATGGTGGGAAGATCTGGGCGGTGCGTGCGGAGCGGCCAAGTGGGCAGCTAGCTGTCCGAGCTTAGGCCCAGCAGACGAAAATGGAGAGGACTTAGAATCTCCACCCTCACCGGGGGACTCGAGCTACTACCAAGATAAGGTAGATGATTTCCATGAGGCCCGATCTCGGGCCGCTTTGGCTAAGGGCTGGAGCGGAATAGAGAGTGGGGACGAGGAGGATGGCAATGAGAAGGAGGAGGTGCTTGCCCTAGATGTTGCCGATGAGGACGATGAAGATGGAGAAAGTGAGGAGGGTGACGATGATGATGGTGGGAGCTCGGTGCAGAGTGAGACTGAGGCTTCTGTGGATCCCAGTTTGTCGTGGGGTCAGAGAAAAAACTTTACCACGACACGGAGTATGTCTCCAAGTCCAGAGGCCGGCAGAGTCAACAAGGGTGGAGAAAGGGGAAAGAGAGGAGGACGCACAGCTCATTCAGCGGCGCTTAGCCCAAGCCCTGCAAGAGGATGATTTTGGAGTTACCTGGGTGGAGGCTTTTGCAAAACCAGTACCTCAGGTAAATGAGGCTGAGACACGTGTCGTGAAGGATTTGGCGAAAGTTTCCGTGAAAGAGAAGCTGAAAATGCTGCGAAAGGAATCTCCAGAGCTCTTGGAGCTGATAGGCGACTTGAAAGTTAAGTTGACAGAGATGAAGGATGAGCTGGAACCATTGATACAGTTAGTGGAGCAAAAGATCATCCCCCGGAAAAGGAAGCCAATACCCGAGGACCAAATACAATCTCTATTTGAACTATTGCTCCAACATTAGTTTTTATCTGATCCTGAAAGCTAGGAGAGTCCCAGCACATGGACATCCTGTCACTGAAAGGCTTGTTACCTA